TGATCGCGCATAAAAACTACCGTGTAAATAGTGTTTTAATTTTCCGCGTAAATCGAGGGTCAAATATAGGTGATTGTTGATTTAATATGGAAACAATAAACAAATAACTTTTGGATAATAAGAAAAAGATTATATATTTCCATTTATTTTTAACGTGAACGAAGAACTATAAATGCATTTTTGTATGCAGAAGTACCGGTCATTTGACCGACCGTGGTTAGTGGTAGAAACATCCTGAATTTTACGAATAACCAGAATCAATGCTTACTCTTCAATAATCCTTAAATTATACGTCGCTTCTGATATTCGAATATTTAATCCTCGTCACGATACAATGATACAACACGAACACCAGGACAAACGGAATCGACAGTTTAATGCCTAGGAATCCTCGACGATCAGAAATGCATGAATCGCAAGAAATGAAAGAGCCCGGCATATCTTCCTCCGTCAGGAAATTCAACGATCTTTTTCTGCCGGTTCCAAGAGAGGAGATTTCAGGGATACTTCCTCGTACTGAAAGGTACACGACCTCCTGAAACGACTTCTGGAATCGCTGGCTCTCTTAGAAGCACGTGGTTAACTGGACCACGAGGCCGCGATGGTACCGTTAAGCACGTAACCGGCAAAAAGCCGAGCCATGACCAAAGCGGGTGTGTATGCCTCGTTGCTAGCTTCTTTACAACTTCGAATTTCCTGCTGAACGCGGCAGGGGCTATTGTCAGCTCGTGTCCTTCTGTTCCGTCGTTGCAGACGGATCCATCGGGGATTCGTGACTTCCACTGCCACCTGGTGTCACGCTGTTTAGTACCAAAAATGGAGACAGCGATATTTTATCGCGGAAAACGGACGCTGACGATCGGACGTTTTTCTTGCGTCGAGTCCGCTCGTGTCCTTGGAGGATGGATGTGATGAAATCTTTCGCTTTGAAGTAACGCTAATTTAAAAAATCCTGTGATTGGTATGGCAAATATAGGGAGAAAGTACAAAGGTGAATGGCGGGTGTAGCTTCGGGCGTTTGGAGTTTCAAATGCTGAAATAATAGTCTTGTGATATTACTTGGGAGTTTATTGCTTTTTCGAGTATTAGCATATTAGGGACATGTTATTATGAAATATTTGTAGCCTTTATTCTTATGTATTATTGGAAATTATGTAATAAAAGCATGAATGTTTTGAAAGAGAGTTCCAAATTTAGTATGATGCTTTAATGTGAATACGTGTGAGAACATTTAATGATAATCCTTGTAATGTTGTTTGGTATAATATATTTAAATAGGTTTTTCATAATTTCACGTAAATTATAGACTATGTGAACTGCTGTGTCTCATTAATAATATATTAATAACTACAACAGACAGAAGCCTAAATTATTAGTAAAATTTGTTTTGAAAACATGCATTCATAAGAAACTTTATTGTAGATTTTTCAATTGCGTTTCGAAGAAAAGTATCGAAGTAAATATATGATTTATGTGTTGAATGCTTATGACAATATAGCACAAGTTATGAAAAAGAAAAAGCGAGTAAAACTTATGTAACCGATCCTGTTTGGTGAAAGCAGTTACCTTGTGCTTTTAAAACACTCTTTACATTAAATTAGTGTTTCAACGATAATAATACACTGTACTTGAAACTTGTTGTCTTTGCAAATTTTCAAAGATATTTTTTCTACTTTTACAGTTTTCAAATTAACAATACTTAATTGAAAATGTTTTGTATAATGAAATGTTAAATATTATAAATATTTACATAGTTATTATAAATTATTAGTTATTAAACATATCGAAAGAGAAAAATAAAATGTTTCTATATAAATTCTCATTTTTCCTAGGTTATGCTTATAATCTATAGAGAATTAGCGTAACAAATCCTCTTACAAGCATAATCTCGGTTATATTCGTAAATAATGTTAACTCTAATCTATTACGACTCAGAGGTATATTTGTGCGCGACATTAAGATCCTTACTTTTCTTTAGGATTATTTACTATCGAAGTTATACCAGTTAGATAATTATACTTTATGAATCAAATAAAAGAATACGAAGTCAGATACTAGGTCTGTACAATCATATTTCACATTATGTATCCTTTAATTGGTAAAAACAATAAAGTACATGAAATATGCACGATAAAAGTTATTAATTTAAAACCCTGGTTTCGTGAAAATTCAATTTGAAAATTTCTCAAGCACACATAGAACATCAAACTCGACTATTTCGAGAATGAAGCTTCGAATAAAAAAAAATTCATTCTATACTTGTTTATTTCAGTCTATACAGATTGTACATAGAATTACCTAATGCATGTAATAGTACGTGTACTCGGTTGGCCAAGTGGACACGTGTTCGGCAATTAGTAACATTATAATATTCCCGGAATGGTGGTTTTAAATGAATAAATTTTATTACATGTTGCCGACTTATTTTTTCGTGTAGAATCACATACTTCCAGTATATCTGTTAATTTACCCTGTTATGAGATAATAATACACATTTATATTCGGCCGGTAACGAGTTTAGAACGGTGTTCGACGAAAAGAATGTGCATTGGTCTATCATTTGATTTTCAATTAACGTTCGTTCGGTTATAATATGGAATACGTACATATATAGTCTTCCGATGGTGATCACAGAACGGAGATTGTCGGTAGGTTTAATCTGCGTATTTCAGTTTATTGCCGCGTAATACATGTTGCAATTCTGAATAATCTGTGACCAAACTGGGTTACACAGTTATTAAGAAACAAAAAGAGAGTTTCTTTCCCACGTGTAATGGTACCTCCCAGTGTAGTATATGACACGGTTTCTAGGGTAATGACTGTGTTCTTTGAACTCGAAAAGAACGGGTAACAGTGTCTAGTCCCGCATTACCGTAAAATTAATAAACGCGGTGGCACATGGTCGGTAAGAATCAAGGGAAATTAAGGTGTGCATGGTAATTATATTACAATCACCACGCTGTTTCGTGGGTTTATATAAGGTTGCTGTTCTCGTTTGTATGTTTATTTATACGAAAGTATGTAGATCAGTATTCAGATATTTGGGATATCTAAAGTTGAAATCATAAATTATTTGTTAAATTTTTTGCATTTGAAGTAACTAGTTTCCCTTCTGACACAAGTTTTCTGCTTATAAGATATTATTAACCAGTTAATTGCGTTCGACGAGTATAACATCATTTTAAAACTCACAATAATATTAATTCTTCCAACGATGAATTATTTATTTTTCCAGGTAAACACGTAAATCTTTTTCAGTTTGCTTCAGTCTTTCGTTAGAATATATTATAAGTGCATTTGCCCTGCGTTTGACTAGTGTACAATTCATTAATTCGACTTTATTGTGGGCATAATGAAAGGTTTTTTTAAATTAAATTGCACAGTCGATAGGTTAAATAACACTAACCGTATCGCGAACCAGTCGAATGACCGATTTAAAAATTTAATTAAAAGTTCTGCGTTCTCCTTCATTCATTTAACTTTATATCAATTCTTATACTATACAGTTAATCAGTTTTTCAATTTTTGTCTTTTCTTTTGTTTCTTGTTACGATAGGAATAAGTATACATAAAGTACGGGTACGGTTGTTAGTGTTAATACTAGAACTACGGAGCAGTTAAGTTGACTTGTCTAAATGTTTCTGTAGAAACTGTAAGAAAATTATGATTCAGTTCGTAATTCAGTAATGGCAGTTACTAAATCAATTTCTTTAGTAATTTCTTATAAAAGCTTCTGTTATATTTTCAATAATTGGAAAAGAAGAATTCAGGACTTTAAACTAATCATTTATTCATTCGATAGTTTTAGTGTTAATTTCATATAAAATATTTAGTGGTAGCTAGGTGAAAATTTAAAATTCTATTTTTTATAAAAATGTAAGACAATAATGAAGAGTAAACGGATCGCGATTTAGGTATCCGTTTCAAGTCATTAACAATTGTAATCGACTAAAAGCGGTGCGTAAATTAAATCTCTGCCTTTATCCTTCCCATGGCACATCAGTGTACGGTACGTTGCACACGAGATGAGCTCTCGGACAGCACAGGGGCAAGAGTAGTCTAGTCGTGTGTTTTATATAAATAAATTAATATCGAATTAATTAATATCGAAAATAAGATGAGGAAAGATGATTGGAGGTTAACTTCTATGCAACGAAGTGCATATACACAGGTCGTTCTAACTTATAGAGATTTATAATTTATGATTTAAAAGCGAAGTTGAAACTACAATTGTATTATAATAAATCTAATTTTCTTTATTGTACACTGTCATAGAGAATTGATCCTTAAATTTTCTTACACCCTCTATTTATATTATTTAATCAATATATTATACCGCATAAAATATAAATATAATAAATATAATGAAGTCTTTTTCCACTAAAAACCTTTCCTTGCTATTTTAATAATATTTACAATTGATTTCTTCTATTAACATTTTTGTTTACTGAAAAATTAATATATTATTTATTTATATTTATGATATAACAGTATATATGAATACTACATAGAAATCATTATTTAACACATCTTCTTATTTCCTATTTAAATCGTTTTTATAAAATGCAAATAAGATTGAAGAAAAGAATCGCGTCAACTTTATACACCTTGGATCATGCGTTACAATCTTAGATATAAACACACGTAAAAGTAATTTCATTTTCTTTACGAAAAATATTGGGTTGATGCAAAAGTTTTATTATAAGAAATAAAAAGATGGGTTTACAGCTGTGCTGTGGCACAACCAAAAGCAAGTAAAAACTAATACAGAAGTGCAAACACTCTAGACACGTTATAATAATGTGAAAGTAGATATTATTTGCGTAGAAAAACAAATTTTTTTGTTAACCACGTACAGAAAGCGTCAAAATGTTTGCATCTGTCGCATGGAAAACGTTAAAGGTCACAAATATATGACGATTGTCGCGAACATGTTAATCTTGAAATATGCATTGCGCTATATTCATTTAAATATATCTATATTTTTTTATCCTTTGCAGATGCGCCCAAAATTGCGACACTGTTGAAGTCACGTCTGATCGAATAAGCTGTAAGTAGCGTTGCCACGCGAACATTCCTTTTTAACTAGTTAACTGCGTTCGGCAAGTATACACGTCAATTTAAAACGCAAAATGGTACTAATTTTTTCAATGATAAATAAATTATTTTTTCATATAAATGTGTAATTCTGCTTCGTTTTGCTTTAGTTTTTCGTTAGAATAGATTATAGATGCATTTGCTCTGCGTTTGACGAGTTACACTTTATTATTTAATTTTATTGTGCGCATAATGAAAGATTTTTTAAATTAAATTGCACAGTTAATTGGTTAAAATATACCTATCTCCCGATTTACATAGAAGGCTGATTCCTCAGAATATCGTGTAAATCGAAATTGTGGATCTTTGTATGCAGGACTGAGTAAATCGAAAATGAATCAAAATATACATAATTTAGTCAGTTACATATTCAATTAAATATAAACTGAAAATCAAAAATATCAGTTCATTCATAAAATAACAAATATATAAAGCTACAAGTACATCATTCATTTTATAGGAACGAGAAATATAAAATCTATAAGAAATGTAACCAAAAGCTGAACCAAGAAACCAAACCTATACAATTTTAAGTAAATCATAAAAGTGCAACAAAAACTATAATTTTTTATCACTAACCAGTAAATATGATGTTTTAAAAAATTCCAATTAGAAAAAGCACACCGACACACACCTTTCTGATGCTAAAAATTCACTGAGCTTTACTGTGCTATTCACATGAACGCTTCTGGTGTGTACAGAAATGGGAATTTCCCTTCTTAGATTTAATGCCAGTGTGGCAAATCGAACGAAAACCAAAATTTACTATAGAAATATGTACGCAGCAAAAATGTTTACTTTTATCATTTAGAAAGAAATTTATTATTTTAAAAACCGTGTAAAAGCAAAGTCGTGTAAATAGGTGTACAGATAACCCCCGCATAACACGACACTTCTGCAACATGGTTTCACTTTAACAGGGTTTGACAATTAGAGAAATCCCTGTACAACACGGACCGAAATAAGAGCGTTTAAGTGCACAAGATATCTCACTGTAAAATTTTTATTTGAGCGTGTATGTCGTACCAGATTTGCCTGCAGAGTTTCGAAATTTATTAGAATTTGAAATCCTCTTTTCTTCGTGGAGTATTTAGTACATTTTCAAACTTTGTGTTTTCTTTTCACTACATTATACATAGATTAAAATTTTTCGGGTGTGTATTATTAAACCTCGTTTAGAAATGGTAATTATGTTTTTCTAATTTTTAAAACCTAACTTCATTTTTGGCAATAATTCTTTGTTTCGTATAACACGGATTCGCATAACACGGAATTTTTTTAGGAACGTAACAACCGTGTTATTTGGCAGTTATCTGTACTTGTCGAATATGGAAGCAATCGAGTCTATTAGCGGTCGAAGAGACAGGTGCTCGTTCGTTGCTTACCGCGAGGAAGCGTCGAGGATTGCGTTTGAAAATCTTTCTCGAACTCATTGGCCATGACCTGCCTCTACCCACGCGCTCCAACAAAACACTCCGAGACTGCTTTGCGCAGTACGTAACTACTTAAGCCCTATTAACCGTTCTGTCTGTTTGCAAATTAGGCGCAGAAGTTGTCAGAGACGGCTGACACACTGTACGTAACACACATCTCCACGCGTGCCGTTCTGCTATTTGAGCGGTGGAATTACCTGACGATCACCGCAAATATTTCAGTAATACGATTTAACATGTCAAACTTGCGTTTCCATGTCATGTGTAGCTGATGTTTTGTTTCTTATATATTATATTATGTACTGGAAAAATTTCGTGCAGTTTTTTTGTTAACAATTAAATGAGGTCCGATTTTAGTTAGTATTGGGTCATCCCATAAATAATGTGGTTTTTTAATGTTTCTTTTATTTTTAAGAACAAAAATGAACCTGTTAATTGTGCAATTTAATTTGAAAAATCTCTCGTTTTGCGTGTGTAATGAAATCAAAGAATGAAGTGTGTACTCGTCAAACGTAGGGCGAATGGCACCTAGGTTATACTTTAATGAAAAATCAGAACAAAACAAAAAAGAATTACATGTTTATCTGAAAAAATAAATAATTCATCGTTGAAAGAATTAAAATCATTTCAAGCTTTAAGATCATGTGTAAACTCGTCAAACGCAGTTAACTGGTTAACAAAATTTTTTTAAAAGTGATTACCATGTATAGGTACACAATTTATAGATAATGAAGGAGAATACGTTTTAGATTAAAAATAGGTAGTTTAACTTTGTTTTTAAAAATAAAGGAAATGTACAAAACCGCGTTACTTATGGGATGACACAATATTTTACTAGTTCAATTCTTTGAGTGCTATAGGAGTATATATGCGTCAGGCGAAAGTTATTGCTGTGAATTATACACGTATATATGTGTTTTTTGATCTTTTTAATGTTACATGCGCCGACGTGACAATTATAAGTGTATGAGATTAATCTATGAGTTTCTTAGCATTATTCAATTTGATGAAACTGAGGAATTACAATTAATTGTATAAATTAACATAATTCATCGATCTTCAGATGAGCAAAAAGATATTCTGTTCTCACGGAACGTTTCAGCTGGGAGTATTCAGCACTCAAAGGGTTAACGATTGAAATTGAAGCCGTGAATTCCAAAATAGTACAAGTCCACCTTTTGGCACTATATGTTATCTACATATGTAGCTGTTTTTAACGTACTTATAAGGGAATCTTTTCAACCAGCGCACGTCGATGTTAATGAAACTGATGTGAGACGTAGTTTTCCAAAAAATATTTGACATGTATATTTTTCATCAGCCAACATCCACTTTGAACGGGCGAAAGCACTTCCCAAAGTTAAGGGTTAAAAGTATATTTTTTATAATATCTCTGAAACTAGAAGGTATAGAAAAGACAATTTTTTTTTAATTGTCCGCCTTGAAATGAACAAATTAGATTTCTTTTCCAAACCCCCTAGTCAGAAATATTGTGAAAAACATACTTTTAATCTTCAACTTTAAGGACTGTTTTCACTTCTTCAAAGTGGATGTTGGATGATAGGAAAAAATACGTGTCAAATATTTTTTTCAGAACTACTACATCAGTTTCACCAAAATCGGCGTTTGCTGATTGAAAAGGTTCCCCTGTCAGATCCACCAAATGATACTTAAAAAAATGTAAAAAAAGTTATCTCCTTACATTTAGTATATGTGTAGTCAATATTCACAGCAAAAATAATCAAGATAGATATTAAATTAACGAAGATAAACTAAAAGGATTGATTTTCTCGGAGTAGTAGTTACTGGACTTGTACTGTTTTGGAATATATGGCTTCGATTGGCATTAATGGCAAGTTACATTTATGTCGTTGATGTCAAATAAAATAAAATAACTGTATAAGAACGTTCTCCGCGTTTATATTATGATTTGAACTTTTTCCGGTACCTAATAGTTAGAACTTTCCACGGTTATACCGGAATGTACATTTATAAGCTTTATATTATGATAAAATATTTGTTTATACTTATTCATCTTAGTTTTCATTACAATATTTACATAATTAGTAGAATATCCGTATTATATTTGTCTATATTCACAAAATGTATCCATAAAGACATTTGTAGTATTGTTCTTCTTGAGTTCATTCACGTATATGTATGTTCATAAAATGTTTATTGATACGTATACAGTAATAATGTTCCTTCAAAATGTTTTTCATATTATTCGCGTGGTACTTTTTTTTTACTTTATTATTAATTATTAACTGTGATACATTTTTTATGTGTTTATTAAAATATAATTTCCTATTTCAAATGTTAAA